TAAAATCCGGGTATTTTAATACAGTTTTTTTTTCCATTTCACCCCTCGCTTGGTATTGCATACTTCTCTTATCATGTCCTTTCTCAAGTCGAGCTCAATACAAAGTCTTGCATACTTTATTTATGGCTTTCAGCTTCGTGGTTTTAAAAAACATCAGAGCCCGCAGCGCTAGCAATTGTGAAAATTCTTTATTCCTTCAAGAATTCTGCTGGGAGTTTCGGCAGCTCGATCCATACAGGCACAATCATCGCTGGAGACTCATCTATAAATCCATCATCGGCTGCCATTTTGTTAGAATCATGCATGTTCTTCCGAAAGAAATGTGACCATTTACCCAGACTCTCACCAGGTCCTCTTCAAGATCGAACCTTATTATCACACAGGAATTTTCCATATAGCAGTGATTGAATATGATCCCGTTAGGTTCCATCGTCGGTTTGAACCTGTCTCTAATGAATTCCACCGAGGGCCTTCTACCTGCAAAAAAAACAACCAAGCTATCTTTCCACCAGTCTATGCTTTCATCATAGAGTTTCTCATCAATGTAAAAAACTCTTCTATAAATCTATAAACCAGGAGCCGGGGGAGAGAACTTAAAGGATTTTTCTTGCATTTGATCTATTTTGTAGGAGACTGAACAGGAGATTGATCAACCGGGATGGTCTTACCAGTAGCAGAGGGCCTGGAATCATGTTCACTGCTTCCGGACTTCTGATATTCTGGCTTCTTCACATCGTGTAGGAACAGGAATGGATCCTATCACGATTTCAGCTGCCCTGTCTCCTGCTGGGGGATTGGCATTGAATTCAGCCACAGATGAAGATGAAGTCTTGCCCAACGGACCCACAGCCATTGGGAATCCAAGGCTAATTTGCTCTTTCTAAAAGTTTTGGACCAATTTGCTACTGGAGAAAGAAATTGCAGACCAACGGTACAATTTTCTCTTCAAGTTGAAGGCTGCAATAAGAATTTGATTTCTTCATGTTCAGAATTGAGATTGGAGAGAGAAAACATGGAGATGTAATTTAGGGTAAAGATTGTAAGGTAAAACCTAAAAACAGTCCAAAAAGTAAATAGCCGTGGGTTTGTTTTTTCATTAAGGTCTAAGTGTTGGTTCAATGCATACAGGTTAATGATTTCTTTATGAGAACTCGGACAGTTTTTAGGACTTAACCAGTTCTTTCGTTGACGATTCTAATAGAAAGACTTTAAGCTGATTGATAAACAGCTCATCGATTTTTCAGTTGAACCGATCAGTTCGATTCATTCCAAATGTTAAAGCATTGAATTATAGATTGAAAGATACAACGAGTAAAGAAAATGTTTTACAAACTATAATAAATCCTAGATGGCTTTGAAAGAGTAATGCTATTCATCACTGTTAGAGTTAAGCATAGTGTATGTGGCAATTACATGACAATAAATAATAGATTTAATTAAATATAAAATCAAATGAATTATTTAATTGAACCTATAAAGTGTAGCCATCTAAACTGGTGTTAAATAACGTTATTCATTGAGAAATGGTTTATGTTTCTCACATAATGCAAGTGATGAAGTGCTATGTAAACGGTTCACCAAACTCGGAAAGGATAAGCATTGAAGATAATATTTAAATGTTCATATAACAATTTAAGTTTTTAGATTAAGAGCTTGTTTGGGAGGGCTCAAAATCCAATTAAAATTGAAAATATAGTCGTTATTGGGTCTCACTCGTCTAATAAAAGTCAACAATAACGATTTTAATCTCTACCGAACAAGTTCTAAGTGGTTTAACAATAGCTCACAAAATATATTACATGATTAATCCAATCAAGCATACCAAACATATGTCCTGAGTTTTCTATTTCAGTGCTAGATAAAGAATGGAAATGAACCTTAAAATTTAGGTTAGAGTTCGGCAACACCTCCTATTTCAAGCTCATCAAAATAAGTAGGTGAATGAATAATTTTCCAGGCTGGAAACTTCGGTTACCCTACAGCAATATTCAATATTAGACACCAATATTCACAAAGAAAGTTCAGTTATCTGTCATTGTAAGATAGGAATATAGGGTTAGGGGGACCCCTCTATCTATCAACCTCCTATTCCAATGTAAGTGGAAGCCCCCACCACCACCACCACCCCCCTCCAATGAACTAAATTTTGTTTCAATTGAGATCGACTACATGAAGAAGCTTTCCTCACTGTTCTGTTCTACTCATTGTTAAATTTATTAGGAGATCTAAATCAACTAGATTCTTAGCTAATGAAAGGAAACAAAAAAAAGTTGAAAAAGCCCTTTAATTGTTTCCATTCTCGCTACTGGATTCCCTCTCAACTATTAAGACAAACAGAACAGGTGTAATTATTGGATTCAATTATGATAAGATCGAAAAACAGTGAAAAAAGAAAGCAAATAAGTGCAAAAAGTTAAAGTAATGATGAACATAATCATGGCTTCAAATCAAATTTAGACTTTTGGTCCATCCCTCTAATGTCATGTAATGAAATGAATAATCCAAAAACCGAATTTAAACTGCAAACTGATATTTCTATACCATAAGACAATAATATATAGCCTCTAAAAGAAATCTAAGAAACCTATAATCTCTATATGAATCTAAATTTATATATCTATGCCAAAAAATAATAACAATTCTAAAAAGAGAGAGTAAAGATCTGGCCTTATGGATCCAAAGAAACTGGTAGAACTGCACTTCTAGAGCCCTTTCCATGCCCAAAAGAAAAGAATGATCTGACTTTGTTACTGCAACCTTCATTGGGGCATACATCAAACACTTGTTTGTTTTGTTCAATTATTTCTTGAACAGCTAAATATAGCTGCCTATCAGCTGCTGAATCCATAGAGAAGGATCTCCTCTTCATGGCTTGAACTACAAATTGATCATCTTTCTGCCTATTGTCAATGCACTCATCTCCCATGCTAGAAATATGGCTGAATCTTTTTGTCTTTCTTTGTGATGCTTTTTGTTCGAATAACTTGCTTGGTGAAGGGCCGAACCAATATGATAATTCTCTCGAGTTAAATCTTTCTTCAGCTATATGCAATGATGGATTGATGTTGGTACCATGTTCTGCGATTTCAAGCACTACATAATCTTCATCTCTCCCGGTGAAGTTAGTGGTATCAGGATTTGGAACTTGAGGGGAAGTGTTTGAGCCAAGAATTTGATCTAATGGGAACCTTATGTTGGGCATGGTGGCTGAAATGCTAGTTCTGCATAAAGGGCAATTAGCATTGTTTTGAAGCCAAACATCTATACAATCTACATGAAAAACATGGCCACAGTTTGGAATTCCTCTTAACTTTTCGTCTTCTTGAAATTCATTCAAGCAAACTGCGCATTCACAAGAACCTTTCTCTGCAAGTTCTTGTTTATCAGTGCCTTTCTTGTACTGAAATGTTGGGATTGATCTGATTGCAGCCTCGTCTAGACCACGCTTTTCAGCTGCGGGCAAATAAACCATTAAAGGGTCTTCAACACGCCTTCTCCTGGAAAGGGAAAACTGCGCTAGGAGATCAATACGGTGCCAATTCAAGCAGCATTTGATCACAAAGATGTAGTAGCTCACCAGCAAGAAAGCTGTGGCAAAAATGCCGATAGTGGCAACTGCCACAATAGGAAAACTAGTGTGTGAATGATGCAAAGATGAGCCAAAAATTGATATTGGTGGGCTTCTGATAGGAGAGACAGCTTCTGATTCATGGGCATAAAACTTTTGGCTCACCAGATCCATTGAGTCAATTACACAAACTGATAATATATCAGTTTCTTGAGATCTTGAACACAATGCACATGACCATGTACAATGAGAATTGGTAAAAAGAATGTCAACTCATTTCAAGATTAGAAAATGAAGTAATAGCACATTAAAATAAATAAGATAGGTACTAGAAAATCAAGGAGGGCAAGAAAATCTTTGCTGAAACGGCAGAAACTTGGAGATGGGAGCAGAGGGAGGGACCAGAGTGGGAAAATTGGCTAGATTAAATGCCAGTACTATAGGAGAAGACATGGAAATTTAATGTATATGTGGTGACCTTCTTTAAGGTGAGAAAAAGAGAAACTAAAGAAAAGTATGTAAGTAGGTGGTGAATATTTTGCAAGAAACTTATCAAAATTATTTAAACATTTTTTTTCCTATTGTCAAAATTAGCAATTTAGTTTAAATTAGAACTCGACCTCGTAGATTTGTGAAGTGTAATTATACCGTTTACTTTTATTCTAGAAAATATACCTACATTCATAGTAAAGTCAACATGGTAGCTTCCAAGGCGAATTTTTTTATGTTATAAGAGTATATTTTAGCCATCAGCACATCTATTAAGTCACCCTAATACTTTCTCATTATATAAAAGATATTTGAACAAGCCGTTTTCCGTTACAATCCATTTCTTAATCATGTCCCTGCTATCCTTTCAACAAAGTGAGGATGTTCTTAAATTTGAGATTCGTAAAACTTCAGTGTGTATAGACTATATGCTTCAAGTAAATATTAGTAATATAAAAAAGTACTTATTTTAAAATAAGCATAAGTAATTTCTTAAGCTATGGGATTGTACATAATAGGCAGAGGTCCACCATCACCATCTACAGTATGGGTACTGATATTTGGGCACTGAAAATGACTAATTGTTTGGTGGAATTTAAAGCAGAATAGCAGAATTGGTTTTTTCCTTTTTTTTTTTTTTTTTTAACCACACTCTATTCCATGTATCTGTAGCATTTCATAGTGGTCCAACCCAAGTAGGCACAGAAAAATTAAATTTACTTTTGAAAATATTATATTACTAACGCTGTTTATAATATTTAAAAATCGCTTTTTAATATAACTTTATCGAGATGCTCTTCTACAAGAAGTATAAGATCACATGTGACTTTTAACTTGTAACTTTTACGAAAAAATTATTATTTTAAAAGTAACTCTCTTACTATTTCAACATCTATTGATAAAGAATTATTTATTTAAAAACTTACTTATTTACTTAAAATTGAAGTTTTTAGACTTAGCCAACGTGCCCGAACACTGTTTTAAGCTAATGCTCAAATTTGAAGTCCAACTCAACTCGAGTCGATTCTAATAAATATATTAGCAATACTTTGATAAATTATGATACTTAAACAAACAAGTGCACAAATATATTGGCTCCTTCATCTTTCTTTTGTAGAAGTAATTTCTTAATTCATTTCGAGCTGACTTTTGGATTAATAAAACTTTTCGATTTGCATTGTTATCTAAGTAAGATTAAAGATCATGTTCAAGAGTCAAGTCACGTCAAATTATTTGTGCTGGATTAAACTCAAAGCCACATTTTTACAAGTAGTAAAGGCAACTCAATTTCAAAATCTTTTGATGCATCTTATGTAACAAAAATGTTCGCAAAATGATAAACAACATGCTTATTTTGTATTATATCTCAATTAATAAACTTGTATTATAGTTATAACTTTTTGGTAACCTAAATAGAATTGAAGAACATAAAGTTTCTTGTCTACTAAACACATTGGCAATACAACAAAACTTGAAACCCTGACACGTGGCATGATGAGACCTAAGAATTCAAGAAATGGTAGAAAAAGCTCAAATGCATGAAAAAGACATAATTATCATTTGGTGAAAGCTTCACTTTCACACCAAGTAATCTATCTATAATGATCTATTGATTTAATTGGAATTTCTTCCCTTCTCATTTAAAATAAAAAAAATAAAAAACCAGAAAGTAACTTTTACATATTCACATTGATGTGTGTAGAATATTACTAGATCTTAGAGCATCTTTAAGAGGATATTTAAACATAAGATACTCACTATTTTAAATAGCAAACTTCCTATTTTTAAAGAGTATATCCAACAATTTATAGAGCACCTATACATTTAGAGAGTAAAAATTTTGAAGTACTTCAGCAGGCTGTTTATATTTAACGCCTAATTTTATTATTTTCAAAAAATAATTATTGTTTTTTCCTATCTTTTATTTTTGCTATATTTCCTCTAAATTATTATATTATTTTCCTCCATTGAAAATTGAAATACTCTGAGCATTTAACTATAGAGAATGAGTTTCTTTATATGGAAAATAGTTTTTTTTTTTGGCTTTACATTTATTTTTGACATTTGTTGTTATGTTATATTCGGGAGGCTAGACTTATGTCCCCCTTCTTTCATGTATATTGGCATATTTTTTTGATATATTTATGGTTGGGGAATCCTCAGCCCTTATCGACCTTCCTTAGTGGAGTCTAAAAATTCATTAGGGATGTGTAAATGTCTTTGCTAAAAATAATAATAATAATAATAATACTATCGAGAATGGCTTTGGCTCTTCTAATTTGGAGAGTCAAACTCACTTTTAAAATTAAAATATTAACTAAAAAAGTTTCTTGAAACATAATTTAAAATAGAAATCATATTATATTTAAAGACTCGCTTTGAAATGCTATTAAAATTATACTTCAAGAAACTCTTTAAAGTAACATTTTAAAATAGAGAGTGTGTTTGACTCTAACCCTCCCTTTATAATTAAATGTATTCAAGTATTTCAATTTTAAATGAAAAAAATAATATAATAATTTGAAGAGAGCTAATAAAAGTAAAAGATAGGGAAAAAAATTGGGAATATTAAAATTAAGTGTTAGATATAAAGAGTCTGTTAGAATATTTTTTTAAAATTATTCTCTGAATTATAAAATATAATATTTAAAAATAGAGAGTTTCTTGTATATGCTCTAAGTTATGAGTTTAACTTCAAAACAATAATAACTAGTCCGTCGGTAGGTTAGGTAAAAAAAAAAGAAAGAATATTTAAGGACCTTGTTTTTGAGGTAACAACTCAAATAATGTGGGGACTTTAGAAAAAAAAATGTTCGAAGATGGCTTTTGGGAAGAATAATAAAATCTACATCAATGACCTAGTTTTTCACTACTCGTGCCAACATAGTTAGTGAAACGAGTCATCCGATGAAAATTCAAAAGATATTATTCAAAGAGTAATGATATTTATCATCATCATGATGAAATATCAGTGATGTGATATCTCATTATCACTTACATTTCTCTCCCACTCACCTATCATTTAATGTTACATTAATGCCATATATGCTGGCATTGTAACTCCAGCGAGGTTAAATAACTTTACTCTAAAATCATTGTCTTTAAAATTGATAGCATCTCTATAATCGTTACTGATGATAGTGTCCTTGATGAAGTCGTTAATAATGATTAGAATTCAATTACAGATCGAAATCGTATCATTAGTGTCATCAATAAAAATTACTGTATTTATTTTATTTTTTAGTAAACTATCGATGAAATATTTGGTCACTAGTCAAATAAGATAAATTACTTTTTAATTGTTATTTCAATATTGACTAAAATTTTCTAAATAATTAATATTATTATTTGTGCAAGTTTATTTCAATCGTTTAATTTTTTTTTTAAGATTATCTATAAAAAAAAATGTTGTTAATTTATTACTGCATTAGCGAAAAGCTTTTTATGAAAATATTGAACTTTCCATTTTGTTACTTTATTTACTGAAATTTTGGTAGAATTATTTGGAACGAAAAATTAATAAATATATTCATAATTTTTTAGTAGTCCATCGTTGGAATTGATAAAATTTGGGATCCCCAAGGGTTACATCATCTTTAATACATTTCTCCATTACAATTTATGTGATGTGAATGTCTAATAAATAGAATATTAAACTTATTATTAATCTCCAGTGGATGTTTTGTAAATGGCCAGGTCAAAATTACCATTCACCACATAAACTTAACTTATTCTTTATTCAGCACAATGACCTTCTCAAAATGTAAAAAACGAAAATACCCTTAACATAGCCCAGACACTGAATTTCACCCCCAAAAATCATCAAAATGATCTCTAACTTTGACTCTAACAATATATCTATCTCAAACCATACATTAAAAACATAAATTCATAAATTTTATCAAGACTGAATGTAAAAATAAAAAAACTCATTCGTGAAATCATAAAATTTAAACAATAAAAATAAAAACTAGCATTGATTAAATGTGTAGAAGATGATGATGGTGAATAGTGTTGAAGTTGATTTATTCGATAAGATTTTTTCCCTTTTTTGAATGTTTTCCCCTCTTTTTTCCTTTATTTGAAATGAAAGTTATTTGAGAGATTTTGTTAGATTAATCTATTCAAATGGACATTGACCACAATTCCCTCTCTCCAGTGGGCTATTTCTGTTTTCCAATACCATTATCCACGTCTTTTATCTACCATATAATAAAAATAAATAGATATTAGAGAAAGAGACCGCAAGGCCATCTACAAACTCAAATAGCACCCCAAGCATGGTAAAATTAGTTGAAGGAATTTCTCGTCTCTTTTGATTTCTCTAATTCAAGTTAGGATACATTTTTATCTATTTATAACGCTAATGTCAGTCTTATATGTTTTTAGCTTATATGGATTACCTACTAGTTACATGAAATGATGATAGACATCTATGGCATTGTAATGGTTGAGCCACCTCAACCAAAACCAACCAAATCACTGCAATGAACTCACAAGGAGAAGATAATCAGCTGGGATTTAACAACCCAATTGGTAATTATATTGATTGAACCAAAAGTGATTACAATAAAAGAAAGGAGGGAGATTACAGAGAAAGGAGGGAGATTACAGAGAAATGGGGAAGAAGGAGGTACGAACTTCTGACAACTTTTCACTTAATCTCTCCCTTCTCCCACGTTTGC